GAGACTATTTTTTTTATATAATTTTGACGCATTAGGTCTAACAGTTTGTCTAGCACTAAACAAAAAATAAAACTTAATTTTATGACAATTTTAGAAAAAAGCGACACTGTAGTAATCTAGCGGTATGTTCGAGTAAGAAAATATTCCTCAGTATAATTTTTTAAGTTCTCTATCAGTACATTTTTTTTCATGTAAAAAGTTTTTGGTTGTAGCTTTCACATAGTGAATGTATTTTTAATACTTGCGTAAGTCTTTAATGCTATTAACACCCTAGAGTGAAACTTGAGACATTGACAAATGACCTTTTTGTCAATTATTTTATTGTTTTACCCTATTGCATTTCTTATTACTACAGACATTCAGTTATTGCAATCATCCATCTTTTGGTTTATTAACTAAAAGCATGTGCACAAATCTAAAGTTACACTACTTTATACCTTTGCACTCTATGCAATGACTTTATGAATGCAATTTGGACAATAGTGAAAAAAAAACACCCTCAATTTTTGACCACCGACAAAAAAACAAGTGATTTTTTTCCTCTTAATGGTTTGGAAACAGACTCATTAATCACTTTAATATCACGTGTATTGTACTTCCTGAAAAAAAAAACAGTAGAAATTAATCTAATATGTCAATCATTCATCACGAACGTTCAATATCTTACAAATGTAGCTCGTACTAGTTATTATTATTCTAACTATGAGTAGTTGTAAAAACGCAACATATAATAGAAGTGTGTTGGGATGAAAAACGTGTGAAATATCAGAGTACGGCCGATACCGTTCAAACGTCTCTACTAATCTAATTACCGTGATTTAGTAAATAAAAAACTCGATTTTGTGAATATATTAAAGCATATGTAATTTAATAACATAATATTTTAAGCAAAATAAATTGCCACCGGTGATGATTAATTCCACTGTCGGCATGTAATTTCGACACGTCTGCCTGTTGCGCATACAGTGGACCGGTTTATTTCAGTTACCACACAAGGCGGTTGTTTCCCTTTCATTCTTTGTGCATGAACTATGTTATTATACATTTTCGTTTTCAGTTACCAATTGTGCCAAAATAGGGCCGCGCCCCAATGGCGGCTGGAGAAACTGAAAAGATCGCTCCACTTCCCTACCCTACTTTTCATACTTTAACCCCAACACCTCTGTCAAAGCAATAGCAAAGGAGAGGTATGTCTGAATGTCTAGACAGAATCAATATTCGTTTGTTTTTACTTATGTATGCATATGTGTGTTTGTTGTTAGCCATCATTCAGACAGCAGTGGGATAGTACGCCTCGAGGGTATTCGGTGTATTCATTCCCCTTTTTGTTATCATACTAAGCAACAAGTCTGGTAAACAAAAACACAAAGCTCGCAAGAGGATTGACATTTCCTTGAAAATTAACATTTTGATTGTAAAAACTCAATTCGGTAAAAAATGACTTCGACAAGCTTTGGCATTCATCAAATAAAAGATCATTGATTGAGATCAAAATCAAAAATATAGTAACACTCTTAATGACGTATAAGGAGGCATAGAGGTATCATGCAAGATGATATATAAAAGTATGTTGATATTTGTTTTTGATCATAATCAGTTCAAAGTATGTCAACAAATTTTCAAAAAAAATTGTTTGTGTCTTCCCAAATGAAATGGAAACAATGAATTTCTAAATATGCCTCTTGACACATTTATAGAGTTTGCAAAATAATCTCGTAAATTAATTTGATATTTTTACATATGTAATTCGCCCACTCCTCATTATCAAATCATGTAATATTCGTTTAAGTTGAAGTTGTTACAAATATTGAATAGAGTTATAAAACTCTATAATTAAGCGTTTAATATTTTTATAAAAACAGAGACTAAGAAATTTACCTAAAAAATTTTAAGTGAACTATATTTTGATTTTAATGAATTAAATACATTTTTAGTAAGTACTTTTAACACTTGAAGAATTTAAATGTAAATTATATCTCAACAAAAACTTAAATTATAAATTATTTTTCCAATTTTTATACAAAAAAAATAAATTATAACAGAAATAAATCTGTCCAATTTTTNAATAAATGTGTCCAATTTTTTTTTTTTTTTTTGTAGAATTAATCGTATATAATTACAAATCAAAAAATCATATTAATATATTCGCAATAAAAACAGTACCAAATTCTATTGAGCTGTCGAAGATTCGAACTACAATCAATTCAGCTGGTGTGACACTCATTACTTGGTCATGGCCCTGGCCCTAGTCTTGTAAAGAAAAGAAAACTTCTGAATTACAAGGTTTTGGTCTGGTAATTCAAGGATAGCAAATAATTTAGGAGAATGTCCAGAATACATTAGTATTCTATAGATATTAACAATTATTCGAAAATAGGAGAGAAAAGCCTTTTGCTGAGAGAAACAAATTTGATTATTAATAATAGAATTCCATCGAAAACAAAAATATTTCTATTCAAATAATATCGTGTAAAAGAATTAAAATTACAAAAATATACAGTACGAAATAGAATGTCAAGTGAAAATGTTTTTTTATAAAACATTGTTTTATAAAAGAATGTTTTAATTAGCCAATATTTAGTCAGAGAAATATTTATTTGCGACTAATTTATATATAGCATAACAACGACGTTTCGTAATGTGACATAATCAGAATGAATGATAAAATTGGCGGGAAAATTATAATTTAAAAAACATAACATAAAAAAAATGTATAATGAGTAATATTAATTAGAACTTCCTTCAAAAATGTTCATCTAATATTTTAATACCATCATCGACGAGTATGTGCAAAATTATAATTGCCTTTAGGATGTCATAAGTCATAAGATAAGTATTTTGTCGGTAGTTAAATAAAATAGCTACTTAAAAACAAATATCTCAATTTTCAACAATTTAAAGTTCAATAATCATCAATAAATAATGTTTATACTGAAATAAATAAATATAAATAGTTAAATAAAATTAGTAAAGAAATTAAAATTATATAAAATCAATAATACTTTTTCATAAAAATAGAACTTAATTTTATTTTGACCCGATTTAAATAAAGAAGCTGGAAAATCTAAAGTACTTTGCAGCGCGACACTTTTCAAATGATATTAACACGTTGTAATGCAAAACGAAACTTTGGTGTCACGATCGTTATTTTTTTGGGTCTGTCGGTCGATTGGTGAGAAATACCGGGCCAAATAAAAGTAAACATGGTCATTGCGGTAGTCGATCGATGTTCAACGAAAAACACAAAGACGCGGAAACAAAGAAGAACACAACGTTCCCGCCAAAAAATCAACGACCTGCCGTGTTCGTTAGCGATGAACGCAATAAAAAATTGACACTTTCCCCCCGTCCGGCCTACAAGCAGTTACCGTAGTAATGATATACAACAGTGGGGTACACCTGAGGATATGATGTTCGCTCAACAATATTATTATTATTATTCTGCACGGTTGTAAAAACTGGCGGGCGCAAAGCATTCACGTACACAGCCAAGGTCGTGTATAATGCGACGACAGTGAACGAGTTCAAGGCGAAATGGACTCGCACGGGAAATGTGTGTCGTCACAGCAGCTCTGGTAGACACGACCTCGTTTAGACACCGTTTTGTTCGTGTAGTCGATTTGCTGCTACAAGTAATTTCGACCGTATCATAAATTTCAATCAAAAGCCCAAACGCATTGAAAAACTGCGCTTGTTATTGAAAATTACACTTTTCTTCGATTTCAGCTTTTTATTTGGTTCAAAAAAATAGCAGCGCAATCAAACAGTCAAGAAAATAAACTTCCTCTATATCATTTAGAGAAAATACATTAATTAGCCATAAATACACGAGGTTCTACACTCAGTTGGGTTGAAGTGGAAAATGAGCTCTTCTTTTCAAATGTAACACACATAAATATTAAAAACACGATAGTATCATTGCACTTTAAATTCGCTCTGTGTACTTTTTATACTCGATAAAACAGTAAATTGATCTGAACATTTTTTTTCTCTTAAAATGGGTCACTCAAATTTTTATTGAATATTTTTGTTTTCGAAAATTATAAATATGCGACAAGGACAACAACGAAAATACAGTCGTACATTACAAATGTTATACAGTGAAATTTAGTTGAAAATTGCGTCACCGACGTGGAAGGACAACAAATCTAAATGTGTTCATATATAAAATTTATGTATTATTTCAATCTTTCAAATAATTTCCTTCGAAGGAAAATATGTATTTATTAGTGGATATTTATCACGTCATCATCAATACCATATTCAAAATTTGAAGTTTCGTTCTAAGCTTTTAAAATGAAATTTTGTTTCAACGAAAAGATTGTACATCAGAGTTTTAAATATTACCGTAACTTTCAAGAATAATAACTCTTATACTACTAGTCAATAAAGTGTAATGAAAATATAGCTTTTATAAAAAATTTCGCTGTATGTCAATAATATATATAGTACTCTTTGATATACATATAAATTAAAAAAAAGTGGTTTGATTATGAGAAACGTGTTGAATTTAAAAAGACAAATGTCAGCCATGTCGGTATTTAATCTCTCTCTTAGGGGGGTCTTCTCTTTTAGGTTCATCTCGAATTCCGATTTGTCAGCACCGATGAAATTGTTGAGACACATTTCACGTTTAGTCTTGCAGTTTTCAATTTTACTAACAGCTAAAAACTGCAAATTCTTTTTTTTCACCTTTCATATCATAAAACTATTCTTTGATCTTAAGTTTTTTTTTTTTGTAACGAACGCTGAAAATGCTGAATATTTTATTGAAAAAACTCGTTTTTATGCCTACTATTTTTCCCGATCTGACTGCATGTTAAGGGTATCATACTTCAATACGAATTTAATGACTAATGATTATTTTCTTTTCATAATAGAATATTATTGTAATAAGGTATTTGCTTAAATCACTTTAAGTGAACTCAAATGATTTGATATCATATTCATCTTTTAGTACACAACATTATATAATTACTTTATAATAAAAAATAAATCGATTTAATTTTCTATTCACTTTTAATCTGGCCTTGTATTGATGTACATTAAATCATAAAAAAAAATCAACTATTTATAAAGCATAAGCCGATATATCAATCTATTTAGACGGCTACACACGTGACCACCAACCTCTACTACCAGAACGGTTGTGCGACTCCCGCTGTGATATCATCGTATCTTTGTTTGAACGTACATTAGATTGACGCTCGGGAAACTTATGTTTCCACGCAGTGTCAACTGCAGATTTTTCCACGGAGTCTTCCGGATCAATTGACACGTTAGTGCTCGTTTTGGACGTCAAGCGATTTTTCACGCTTTTCTAAGCAAAAATATACAACAGTTGTGGTTACGACGACAAATATAAATAATTTTAAAGAAGCTCACTAATATTTTTGAATATTTAGAATCGTCCGAAAATCCACTTTCGCTTTTTACGTCCTTAATCTTACTCATCCTCTCTGTTAGCTTCGTGTATTTTAATTTATTTAGACGTGCTCCGTTGAGAGCGAATGACAAATGGTTGCACTTTGTTGACAAGCTGGGCTGGTCCATTTCTATGTCGAAGTTATTAGCTGTATCGTTACTGAAAAATAATTGTTAATCACTAAAATTATTAAACAGCAATAAAAATCTTTCATTGATAAACATATATTGAATTTATCAAAAACAAAATTGAATTCCTTTAAAATCACCATGCAAAAAGTTACAATTTATAAATAGTAAAACGATTAAGTGGATATACTAATTATAACAGTATATTTTAAAGGTCTATCAAGAAAAAAGCATGTAAATGAGTGCAATCTTGATTTTGCACAAACAAATATGTTATTCTGATCAATTACAAATAGTTTCATATATTTTACGTGTAATAGCTCGATAAAATGCGGTTTTGTTCTAGAAAGGAAGATATATACATTAGAACTTTTTTAATTCCCCGCCCTAAACGAAAAACAAAAATAAATTTCACTATGCGATTATTTTTGTTCTGAAAGCGTAAAAGAAAAATTTTTTCTCATTGATTAATAATTATTTAATTTGTATGTTTTCAACGCATTAAGTTATTATTATGAATATATTTGAATTTAATAAACTAAAAGCAGTTTATAAAATGATTTAAAAGAAAAACGCGGAACATGATACAATAAAAAATAATTGATTTATTTAAAATATAAATTTCTTTATACAATGGTGAGCTTTTTCAAAATTAAGTCTGAAAATTGAACTTTTGGCTATAATCCACTTTTTTGGAAGCTATAAAAAAAATGACCCGAATAGTGTCTAGACAATTTTACGCCTCTATTTTAAGAACATTAAAAAATATTGGCACGTATTTAAATATGACGCAATTTTTCAGTTTCCATAAAGATACACTTGAATTGAAATAAATAATGAACTTTTATTTGTTTATTAGCGTTCTATGGTTCATATTGGACATGGATTAAATAATTGAAACTAGTTGTAATTTTGGCTTAGAAGTATATTTCAATTAGCCTCTAAATTAAAAAATTTCCATGTTTTCGTCGTAAAATAACATAGTTGTCAACATTTAAATAAATGTATTTATATTATGTTAAAATGTAATCATTATATATGTGTAATATTTATTCAAAAAACCAATTGTGTTATGTCATGTTGGAACTTAGCCAATATCCGCGTTCATTGATTACTCGAAATTTTAACTAACCAAGTACATTTATATTATTTAATCAACTTTATAATAAAATAAAACAAATTTGCACAATTAAACAAAAATGTATTAAAAAAATCTTAAATTTAAATACCTAAAATATGTAATTTATCTATTATTTTGGCAATTGTTAATATCGAATATTAGCTCGTAAAATAATAGACAAGAGAAATCAATTTTTTTTATAATGTCTTATTCAATTTCAATTAATAACAAAATAAAAATAATCGTAATAAAATGTCAACATTTCATCTTCAGTGAGAATTTTAAAGTTATCACGATTATTTAACTAAACAAATCATAAAATAAACGTACTATACGTATAACACAAACAGTTTAATCTTGATAATAAGAATTTTATACAACACAGTTTATTATAAAAACGATTACTTTTAGAGACAACAAAAGCTGAGACAGATCAATTATTTAGGCGCCCTGTTAACTGTTTATAATAAACAGTTTAACGACTTAAATTGTCATTTAACACTTTGGTAAATTATTCCGGACGTGTTTAATTTTTTACCCATTCGTCAAATACTGTTAAGACGCATTTAAATACATAACACTTCCGAAACGCAATTTATTTCTTTGTTATTTCTGTGTCGCACACGTTTATGCGTATCAGTTACGCGCGCATGATACATCTGAGGACCGTCGGTTTTTGGAGCTTAAAACATAGGAGAGGCGGACACACGTGTGCGTAAATAAGGGGAATGTACCATAAAAAAAAAAAATTAATAACAAATAAAATATGCGAGTGTTAGTGCGAAGGTCTTCGGATTTTCGGCCGGCCGTGAACCACTCCGCTAACTCACAGCTTGTGTCCTTAAAAGTGTGCGTGCGTCGCGTTCGAGTTGTGCGTTACGCGACGGCCACTGCTTTCATTGTCAAGTTCATTAAATAAAAGGCGTAACGTCTATTCCCTTTAAAGATCTTATGTTGTACTCATTGAAACTTAAACTGCACGCTAGAACTTACATAAATCCCATTTGAAACATGAGAAAATCTCAACGTGAATAAACCAATTATTTATAGATATTATATGATAGTTTTTAAAACAACATTTTTTTCCAAAAACTTCTAATCGGAGTCTCAAAAGAAAAAGGAACAATTCCTCTTTCCGATTTCTCTTTTGTCGTCGTTATTCGAACAAAAATTAATAAGAAATTCCGCTATCATTGTTTGCCAAAAGTCTACTTGGATTACAGAAGAATTAAGAGCAAATTTATATGATTGAAAATTAGAATTCATTTTATTCGCAAGTTTAATTGAAACTTAAGCACGAATGTGAAAATAATAAAATTAATTTAATTAATATAAATACTGTAGATAGCTAATGGAGTTCGATTAATATATCATACAAAATACTAAGCAAACTAAATATAATATTTGTATATAATTATGCAATAGAAAAAAATGCATTGTTTAACATAATATTTTACAGCATTATTTTCACATTGATAATTGATCTATCTTTATTGAAAATTTAAATCATTATAAGTTGTATGTTATCATCACAAAATCATAGGTGAATAGGTGAAGTAAAGCTAGACAGTTTGTTTTATTTTATTTCAGTGTTTGCGTACTGTTTAATGAAATTACCATTTTTGTATGCTATTTGACCCGATTTGACGTCATACAGTGAATGATAAAAAAAATTATTTTAGAGATATACACGGGTTCAAATTAGGTCATTGAAAAAAAAAAAATTTACATCAAATTTTTTTGTGCTATTTTTCAAATGTAAGCTATGATAGACAAATGCTAAATTTGTACTACATTAAAGTTCAATACTTAGATTAATTTAGATTTATATTCATTTGATAAACGAAAAACAAAATTATTTTTCAAAGTTAAACCTTATAAAAACACCTGCAAAATATTGTTTAGCCTTAAAATTATCTACGATGAAATATTTTAATATATTTCATAGTACTAGTTTAAATAATAAATATGTATACATATGATTTGTGTATATATGATACACACAAAAATTAAATTTTCTATTTTCAGAACTTAAATGTGATTGTAAACGAATGTACGATATATTCTTAAATAATCAGATGGATAAGTAAATATATGTATAATTAAATATTAAAAAGCTAAACAGTTTCTTTAAACAAAAATATATAATATTGGTATTATTAATGACTTATGCTTAGAGAAAATATTTTTGAAATTTGCAATTAAAGATTTTAGAAAAATACTACTCAACTGCATTTTGTTTGCCTATGATTTCTCCGTGTAACAAACATAAGAAACCTTAATTTATTTTCAAATAAGTAAAAATTACCACATTAATGCAATCATTGCAGTTACTACCTCATTACAATTACGTTTGCGCTTAAATTGCTGATTATTTACTATATTATTTTTAGGTGGTTATTTTTAATTTAAAAAAAATTGCAATATAATCATTAACTATTAATAATTTTTTATTGAGACATTCTGACATAAACAATTAAACAAGGAATACAACTAAACAGTCTCCGATTAAACTAAAAAACCTGATAGTGGGATGAGGACGTTCAGAAAATCATAGAGAAAGAAAAAGCACTTCTAGGTATAGCAAAAGTGCAAAATGAGAGAAGATGGAACAGAGCATAAACGCTTGTATAAAGAAGCCTAGTATATACGGTGTTGGAAAGATATATGGGAGGCCGTGGCATAAATAAATAAGAATAAAGCAATAGGACTCAATGAAGTGCCAGTAGAGGTATGGAAAATATTAGGCAGTGTCGGCATAAGGTAATTGAAAGATTTTTTTAATAAAATTGTATTAGAAGGGAAAATGCCTAAAGAATGGGGGAATAGTATTGTGGTGCCGATATTTAAAGGCAAGAAAGATACATAGTAGTGTGAATATTATAGAGGAATAAAGTATATGAGTTATAGTATAAGGATTTAGGAAAAGGTAATAGACAAAATAATAAGAGAAGAAACATTTATAATAAAGAATTAGTTTGGTTTATTGTATGGAAAGTCAATGATAAAGCCAGTTTTTATGTAAGACAAGTAATAGAAAAGTAAAGTTAAAAGAAGAAAAAGCTGTGTATGGTATTTATAGATTCGGAGAAAGTGTAAGATAAAGTATCGAGAGAGGTTTCAATGTTGGTATTGAAAAGGAGAACACGGTGTAGGTGAAATGAGGAGATCAGTGACACTAAGCGAGGATGTGATAGGAGTGATGAAAAGTTTGAAGGATTAAGGATCAATTGTACTAAAGAACGTGCATGATACAGGACTTAGTTTGGGTTGGTGAAGAAAAGAGAAACATCCAATGTATTATGTAATAAGAGAATTCCAATAAGTTTGAAAGATAAGTTTCATAAGACTGTAGTGAATTTCAGCTATGATATATGGTTCATAGTGTTGGGCAATTGACAAGAGAATAGAGCAGAGAATGAGTGTAGCGGAAATGAAAATGCTTAGGTGGATTAGTGGAGTGACTAGAGAAGATAGGAAAAAGAACGAACATATAAGAGGGAGTATAGGTGTAGCGTCTATCGTGGATAAGATGAGAGAAAATAGACTTAGTTGATTATGTTATGCAGAGAGAAGAATCGAAAGCTGTAAAAACAGTTATGGAAATGAGTGTCCAATGAAGAAGAGGTAAAGGAGGGCCAAAGAATATATGGACAAATTTTATTTAATGTAATATGAGGACAGCTAATGTGTGCGTAGATGATGTGGGATATCGTATAAAGTGAAGGTTTAGGGTAAGGGTTACCAATCCCAAGTAGTTGTGAAAAAGGCGAGAAAATAAGAGAAAACATTTAGACAAAATTTTAACATAATACAAATAATCGAAATATTGTATTGGCTGGTAAATAATTTAAATAATATTGACTTAATTAACCCTAAACATATTTAACGATGTCATAGAAATTTTATATTTTTCATATACTCAACACGAATATTAAGCCATAATTTAATTTTTTCCAAAAGTAGAATTAGATTTAAAAATATGATCATAAAGTAGCATCCATGGTTTTAATTACACTGACCATAAATCAGAGGAAAAATCTAAAATAAATCATTTGAAACACAAGTTCACATTGGTTCATAACAAGTGTTTTTTTAAATCAAACGAACATTCAACAGTGGTGTATAAAAATACACAAACGTTTTAAGATGGAAACGTGTTTTCATTTTTTGTCTAGGAGACTTGGGGAACACAAGAAAGAGGGATCGAGGTACGGTACGTGACCGAAACGTACAAATTGGTAAGGCCCGAGTGCAATGGATGAGAAGAGTGAAAAAACGGCGGGGGCGGTAGCCGTTAGACACTCCGCGGTGGTAAAACGTATGCGTCATTAAAAGCCCTAACGTTTACGACGTCGGCTATTTCTAGTCATAGTCGGCGACTGCTGACATTAATTTCATTCCATGTACTCATTATATTCAGTAACACAACATTGGTAGTGACACATTTCTCTTTTTTCTATCTCCGACCGTCTAGCTATCCCCCCTGCCATCAGATAGTTGACTTAAAAATACTAACATAAAAGCCAATGTATTCCCGACCACACTTCTATGTCGTTGACCTCTAATTAGATAAGCAGTACCTATGAGAAAACCCGAATTTTCATAGAATTAGAGGAAACCCTGTATTAATGTTACTAAAAAATCAAAAACAAGTTAAAATGTACTATTTTTAAATTATTGACATATCCAAAACGTTGTCCACGAGAAAAAATTATACTTACATCATTTTCATTACAGTTTCTATTTCATCTTTATATTTTTTTAGGTAACGTCGATTAAATAATAGTTGTATTACAAAAATTAATGTAATAAGCAGACGATTAATTATCGAATATTAATCGTTTATTTTATACAGTGTGATTCTTTTGATATTGATTTCTCTTAAAACAATAGTTTTATTAAGAAAAATATTTTTTTTAAACAAATTAGTTTCATTTATTTAAGGTATGCATAAGTAATCGATTTTATATGACGCTAAAAATATAATTTATCATCAATTTAATAATAAAAAAAAAACTATGCTACGAGTAATCAAAAAAGTGAAATATTTTTTTATAAAAAAATTATTAACTTCTTTTTTATCAATAACAATTTATTAAGTATAGCGTAAATCTAGTATTACATGTTTATAATGACAGATGTAAATGACAATATTAAATAAAAAAATGTGGTGTAAAATAAACCGCTATAATAGTCATTAATGTGTAGCAAACTCATTTCTCAAGTTACACACGCTAACGAATTTATATCCAATCAAGTACAGGCCTATCGACTTAGAAAAGCTATTTCTAGGAATACGTCCAATAAATATTTCAGTAATGCTACCCATTTCCATAACTGTTAAACACAAAATAAAAACTTTGGCCAATATTTAATGATATTCAAAAAAAAAAAATGTAACAGATCTGTCGGAGATTAGAAAGAAACCGCAGTCTCGTATTTAGATAACAATAGGTAAAAACTGGCCTCCATTAAAAAAAACAAGGTTAACATCACTTCATTACATCATTTGGTACATATTATTATCCTTGGAAATACATTATAAATCTATTGTGATTTCTGGTTAACGCCAGTGTAAAATTGATTTTTTCTTTCTCTTTTTTCGGGTATCGTTACATATTTTTGACAACTAACCGATTAGTGTAAGTATCTCATTGTGAAATAAATAGCTTACAATCGCTCAGAGATCCAAAACAGGAAGAAAGGTACTTTCGTATTCTTAGATCACCATTTTTAATAAAGGAAAATGTTATGTATTATTGTTATATGGGCAAACTAATTACATTCTTATATTGTGTTATCATTCGATGTGGCGTTTTTCGACAAACACGCGCCGTCGCCACAGTGGTACTAGGGAAAAGATCAGCAGAAATTATTTTTTTGCCATTCTTTTCTCGCGACAACAGAATATCCTTCTTGTAAAAATAACTGCACAGTATATATCAAGCAATTGCATTGCACAAAATTTAATTTTTGTTACACTTTTGTTCAATATATTACACCTACGGGATTGTTGAAATTTATCTAATTTATTATTTAATGTGATACAATAAGATAACTATCTGATATTGAGCAGACAAACTCTTTATTCAAGACTGTTCATAAACCAAATTGTATTATGTTAATGTTTTGTGATCAATATTTGTAAAACATTTTTCGAGTAATGATAAGAATAAAAAAACAAAAAGCAAATTATTAGTTAAACTAA